CCACAAAGGCGACTATAAAGAACTAAAAAAAACACAAAAGATACAAAAAAAATAGAAAAGAGCGACCGAAGAAAAAATAAAAAGAAGAGGCAAAAAATGTCAAAAAAGATGATAAAAAGGCGAAAATGGACGCCAAAATGCAGAAAAAATGCAATAAAAACCAGAAAATAAGATGAGTAAAACAAGGAACAAAAAAGCGACAGACAAGTTCACTTGAAAAAAGGACAGAAAAGGGCAACAAAAAAGAATGTCACAAAAGGCTAGAAACAACGTCAAGGCTATGCAAAAAGTGATAACGACACGAGAAAAGGCTAAAGAAACGATAACACAAAGGCGATTAAAAAAGCAAAAAAATACCAAGGGGGGCCAAAAGCCTTAACAAAAAGTTGAGCAAAAAGGCGACAAAAATAGGCCATAAAAAAGTAAGAAAAAGGCACCAAGAAGAGATCAAGTAGAACCAAAAAGAAGAAGAAGAGAACACCAAAAAAGGACAAAAAGAATAGAAAAAAGGCGAAAAGTGATTAAAACGGCGAACAAAAAAAAACCAAAAAAGGTCCCCAGACAAAGCTAGAAAAGGCGACTAAATAGGCCAAAAAAAAGCCTGACCTGACCTGACCTGACCTGTCCATAAAGTCTAAAAAACATAAAAAACTATGAAGAAGGTACAAAAAAAGGCGCAAAAAAGGACAACAAGGAACTAAAAAAAGAGATTAAAAACGCCAAAAAGAAGTGACAAAAAGAGAATAAAACAGGCGAAAATAGACGCTTAAAATGCAGAAAAAAATGCTATAAAAATCGAAAAAAAGAGGGAACAAAGAGCCACTGGAAAAAAAAGAGAGAAAAGGACCACCAAAAAAGGGTCGAAAAGCCTCAAGAACTATGAAAAAAAAAAATCGAAAAAATGGCGACAAGAACGCAAAGAAAAGCTGAAAAAAAAAACAAAGAGATCAAAAAAATTTAGAAAAGTACGACAAAAAAAAACGATAACAAAAAAGGCGAAAAGCGGGGAACAAAAAAAGAGCGAAAAAAAGAGACAAAAATATGTCACAAAGAAGGGGACAAAGAAAAAGGAGTCAAAAAAAAAAACAAAAAGAAGAGGCAAAAAAATGTCAAGAAGATGACAAAAAAGGGCGAAAATAGACGCTGAAAATGCTAAAAAAACGCAATAAACAGCAGAAAATAAGATGATTAAAATAGGAAACAAAAAAGCGCCAGAAAAGGTCACTTGAAAAAAAGGACAGAAAAAAAAAGAATGTCAGAAAAGGCTAAAAAAACGTCAAAGACTATGAAAAAAGCGAAAATAAGGTGATAACGACACGAAAAAAGGCTAAAAAAAAACGATAACACAAAGGTGACTACAAAAGCGAAAAAAAACCTAGGCAGGTCAAAAAACGTTAACAAAAAGCCGATCAAAAAGGGTGACAAAAATAGGCCATTAAAAGAGAAGAGAAAGGCACCAAAAAAGACCAAATAGAGCCAAAAAGAAGGACATGAGAACATCAAAAAATACAAAAAGAGCAGAAAAAAGGCGAACAGAAAAACCCAGAAAAGGTCACCAGAAAAAGTCAGAAAAGGCGACAAAAAAAGGCCAAATCTTACCTGATCTGACCTGACCTAACCAAAAAGGTCTAAAAAATATCAAAAACTGTGAAAAATTTGAAAAAGGCTAAAAAACTGTAACACAAACCCGACTAAAAAGCGAAAAAAAAAACACCAAGAGAAGGCAAAGAAAATCTTAACAGAAAGGAAACAAAAAGGGCGAAAATGGGGGACTAAAATTGACTACAAAAAAGGACAAATAAGGTGCCAAAAAGGCACCTTGTTTGCAAAAAAGAGTAAAAAGAAGATATAAAATCTCCAAAAAAAAAAGAAAAAACAAAAAAAGTGAAAATATACAAAAAATGCGATAAAAAACGGCACTAAAAAGCGGTAAAGAAGGTCACTAGAAAAAAAAAGGACAGAAAAGGGCCAGCAAAAAAAAGGGTCAAAAAGGGCTAGGAAAAATGTTAAAAACTATGAACAAATTTAAAAAATAAGGACAAGAACACGAAAAAGGCTAAAAAACAATAACACAAAGGCTACAAAAAAATCTGAAGAAACACCAAAAGAGGCCAAAAAAAAACTAGAAAAAAGCGAAAACAAAAAGCAGAAAAAAACGGGGAACAAAAAAGGGGCGAATAAAGGGATAAAAATCGGCCACGAAGAAGGAGACAAAAAAATGCGCCAAAAAAAGACAAAAAGAAGGAGCCAAAAAGAAGAGGTAAAAAACGCCAAAAAGGAACAAAACGGGGACAAAAAAAGGCGAAAAAGGACGTTCATAAGCAAAAAAGATGCAATAAAACTGAAAAAAGGACAGAATATGGCAACAAAAAAGAATGTCAAAAAAGACTAGAAAAACGTCAAAGACTACGAAAAAAGCGAAAATTTGATGATAAGTACAAGAAAAAGTAAAAAAAAGCATAAAATAAAGTCGATTAAAAAACACCAAAGAAAGACAAAAAACTTTAACAAAAAGGCCACCAAAAAAAAAAAGATTACAAAAATAGAACATAAAAAGAGAAAAAAAGGCACCAAGAAAAGACAAAATAGTGCCAAAAAGAAGAGCAAGAAAACACCAAAGAAATAGACAGAAAGAGCAGAAAAAGTCACCAGAATAGGCGCCAAAAAGGTCTAAAAAACATCAAGGTCTATGAAAAAAGCGAAAAGGGCTCTAAAAGGGTAACACAAAGGGTACTGAAAAGCGAAAAAAATCACAAAAAGGGGCCAAAAACAATTTAACAGGAACAGGACAAAAAAGAAGGACGACAACAAAGAAAGCTGAAAAGCTGAAAAAGGGATTAAAAAACGCAAAAGAAAGGCAAAATTTAACCAAAAAAGAGAGCTAAAAACGACAAAAGGAGGTGACAAAAAGAGGACAAAAAAAGCGAAAATAGACGCTCAAAATCCAGAAAAAAAGCTATAAAAACCGGAAAAAAAATGATTAAAACAAGGAACAAAAAAAAAACGGTAAAAAGGGCCACTAGAAACGAGGACGGAATAAGACCACAAAAAAGCGTCAAAAAAGGCTAGAAAAAACGTCAAAAAACCACACCAAACGAGGCCAAAAAACTTGGAAAAGGGCGACCACAAAGGCGAAAACGGGAAACAAAACAAAGAGTGAAAAGGAGACAAAAATCAGCCATAAAGAAGAGGGGACAAAGAAAAATGCACAAAAAAAAGAAGAAAAAAGTAAAAAAATAAACGCTCAAAATACAGAAAAAATGCTGTAAAAGCCGGAAATAAGATTATCAAAACAGAGAACAAAAAAATGCTGTAAAAAGATCTCCAGAAAAAGGGACAGAAATGGACCACCAAATAAATAACTAGATATCAATATGACCTCGAAAAACGTCAAAAACTAAGAAAAAATCGAGAAGATGATGAACAAGAACACGAGAAAGGCAAAAAAATAAGAAACGATAACACAAAGTGACTAGAAAAAAGCGAAAAGATACTAAGAGGGACCAGAAAACATGAACAAAATTCCAACCGAAAATAAGTCACAAAAAGGGAAGAGAAAAGTAGCAAGAAAAGACAAAAAAAATAAAAAGAAAAGCAAGAGAGTCCCAAAAAAGCGACAAAAAGAGGACAAAGAAAGGCGAAAATGGATTAAAACAAGGAAAAAAATATATAAAAAAGCTCAAAAAATATGAAAAAACGGGGTGCAGAAGTATATTATATATTTAAAAAATTTAGATACCATTTATTTCCCAAAATTTTGAGATGAGGGCACCAATTTTTTAACAAGGGCAAGAAAAACGAAAAAATGCTACAAAAAGGCCACAAAAAGATGTCAATAAACAAAAAAAAAAGCCAAATAAAGAACTAGCCAAATAAAGTGTCGAAAAATTGACAAAAATCGGTCATAGAGGACAAAAAGTGCAGAAAGAAATACTAGAAACGCAGAAAAATGCGATTAAAAAACAAAGAAAGATAAATAAAAGAATGGAACAAAAAGCGACAGAAAAGGCCACCATAAAAAGCGACAAAAACAGCTACCGAAAATATCGATAAAAAAGGCTAAAAAGACGTCAAAAATTATTAAAAAAGGCCATAAAAAACGAAACAAAAACGACAAAATAATTTGAGTAAAAAAAAAGGGAAAACACCAACAGAGAACAAAAAAATTCGTCAAAAACAAAAGCAACAATAAAAATGAAAAAAGGGGAGACAAAAATGACGGCATCTAATTCTGGGTTTTGCGTTTTTAATTTAAATTGTAAAATGTTGATAAACTATTATAAATCAAGACGGATTCATAAACTATAGGTACGGAAGCACGCTATATTATAAAAATTTAAACAGTATTTTGCCATGCAAAATTTTGAGTTGACGTTATAAAATTATTGGTGGGGATGATCAGGCAATGTGTCATTAGCGTTTCAATTTATATTAAAATAGCCGTTCTTTCGATGAAGTTAAAAATGTTGAGAGCCGCACGACTGAGGAGGCTGTCGAATTGCATTTAAAATAATTTAGTCGACAGAAAACTTTATGGCCATTTAGCATAAGTGTCAATTTTGTTAGAAAGCTAGAGACAAAAATTCCGCTTTGGTTATTCGATATTTGCAGATGTTGGTAATAGTAATAGTAGTTTCACATCCAATATTTTATGTAGATAAAAATTTAACAATAATTTTAAACAACACAACAGAGGTATAAATAACAACTTTCAACGCCAAAGCCTCAAGGTTATGATTCCAATAAAAAAACCATAACCAAAACTCGCAGTCAAGTTCAAATAAATGCTGAACACAGCACCCCCTCTACTACTCAAAACCAACTTGACCTTGTCGATCAGAGTGAATTAAACAATCCGCCGAACTCAACCACTTCTTCATTTCCGTTCACCACTTTTCTTCGCACCTCCGCATCCCATCTTGCATGCACTCTCGCTTCGCTTCAGCACCTGTGTGATTCCCCTGGATTTAGTGGTGGCTAATACAGGTCCCGTGTCACAGAATGTCTATGTACTTCTTCCGGCTGCACAACCTCCGCAGGGCCGAGGAGGACAAAAAGAAGAAGCAGCAACGTCGCAAGGGCAGAGTGGTGGGCTGTCATCGTTACGCGAACGCATTGACACTGGCGCCGAGCAGACTCTTCGAAAGGCCACCACTTACCCCATCGGACAGTCTAGACGAGGTGGCATTGCAGATTCCCAGGTGCTCTCCATATGTAAATATGTCATATACTTATTGTGGCTGTGTTGTGTTTGCGTGTCGTGTGTGAAGCGCTTTAGTTTTAAGGTCGCGGCGCCATCTGTGGGACGGTAGCCGAAGTTTCGGGCGCGGACTGTATTGATCGCTGGGGCGGCGGGAAGAGCGTATTTTTAATTTAAGCACGTGCGAGTTAAATCTCGTTCACACGTTTTTGTTCAATTTGAATACACGAACTACAACGTTACGTTACGCTATGTTTACGTAAAATTTAAAAAACTTATCTTAAAATCGTGTGTCACGTGTGGTCATCAGACGCCGAACATATAAAAGGTTTTACTTTAATATTTCAAATCAATAGAAAAGCTAATGACTGCATTTATTTAAATGATGGATGTAATGCGTCACGTTTTACTAAAAATAAAAAACGTAAATAACAATGTGCATATCGATTGGAACTAATAAAGTGCACCTTGACCTAATTACTTCTTTCCCCTACGAATGATAAAAATTTCATAAATCTCTTGAAAGCTATAAGATACGTTTCAGGCTTTGTTCTAATCGAAAAATCAATTATACTACTATTGTAAATTAGTAATGACGGTCTGGTGAAACGTATTTATGGGTAAATTCGTGTACATATTATTTATAATTTATTAGTGTTTGATGGAGGTAATGTTTGTGGAAACGTATTTCCTTAAGTTCTTTGATTGTGATAATTAAGGGTGATTTAACGAGGGTCGTGTTGTTTATTGTGTTGACCTACTGCAATCGAGATGGCGCTGTACAAACACGAGATTTGACTGGATATTAAAGAATTAAACACTGATTGATCACCTCGTGAAGGGTAAACAAAGATAAATTGTTTGAAAAAAGGAGACAAATTATATATAGTGAGTGTTGTCTGCTGTGTCTATATACAGGGTGTCTCAGTGTTTTGGTGGACTTTTGAAAAACATTGTTTATTTAGAGCTATATTTTATGTAGTGATTATATAATAAACATGTTTTTTTTGGGTGACCTTCAAATTCAGTTAAGTAACGTTCGCTAAAATTATTTTCAACTCTACAGAGTGTTCTGTTTGTGAAGCCATTTTTTTATGGAACAGTCTATATTATATATATTTTTAATATTTCTAGACTTTATAATCATACTTTATTTTTGAAATTTTGTTGCGACTTTGCCACGTTTTCCACGTTTTTTAATTTTTTTTTAGCAATGCAAGAGTTTACAACAGAACTGTTAAAAAAAATAAGTTGTGTATTATATTCAAAAAAGGACCACTCTGTATAGTTAAAAATTATTTTAGTGTAGAAGGGATGTTACAATTTTAATGTTTGATTTTTTTATTTTCAATAATTGATAACATGATAAAATATCCAGTAAGGTGCGTTTAGTGACTCACCCTGTATATAAAACTGAAGCATGGTTAAGAGTACATACAGGATGGTTAAAATTGACGCACCAATAACTCAACGGCACATTATGAAGTTGATTGAAGTATGTATTATCAAATAATTACTGAGGCAGTGGGAATGAGAAATGAGATATAAAAGAGAATGAGAATGATGAAAACGAAAATGAGAATGAAAATAATAAAAAGAGTGGGAATGAGACTGGGAATGAGAATAAAGAGCATGAGAATGACGAAAATAAGAATGAAAGAATGAGAATGAGAATGAGAACGAAAATGAAAACGGGAACGAGAACGAGAAGTAGAATGAGAATAAGAATGGAAATGAAAATGAGCATGAGAATGACAAGAAGAAAAACGAGATTAGCAATGAGAATGGGAATGGGAATGGGAATGAGAATTAGAAAGAGAAGGAGACAAAGAAGGAGAATGGGAGTAAAAATTATAAGGACAGCAGGCACCTATTTATTTTATCAAGAATCGGTTCGTCCCCAACCTCACATTTACAAAAAAAAAAAAAATATGTATAATATATAAGTTGGTAAAACAAAAAAGTTATATTTAGAATACTAAATAAAAAAGTAAATCTAAAACCAAGGGAATGAAAATGAAAATTATGAGAATAAGGATGAAAATGAGAATGATTAAAATGAGAGTGATCAGACTGAGAATGTTGAGAATGAGAATGGGAATGGAAATGGGAACCGAAATGGGAATAAGTGAGAATGGCAATGATAATGATCAAAATGAGAATGAGATTGGAAATGCAAATAGGAATGGAAATGAGAATGATGTGGATGAAATTGATGAAAATAATGAGAATGGGATTGAGAACGGGAACCAAAACGAAACGAGAATGACCACAAAAACTGAGAATTAGAATGAGAATGATGAGAAGAATGAGAATGAAATTGAGAATGAGAATAATGAGAATGAGAATGACGTGAATCTGTATGAGAATGAGAGTGAGGATGGAAATGAGAAAGTTGAGAAGGAAAATGATGAGAATAAGAACCAGAAAGAGAACAAGAATGAAAACGAGAAGGAGATTGAGAATTAGAATGAAAATAAGAATGAGATCGAGAATGAAAATGAAAATGAGAATGAGGATGTAAATGAGAATGAGAATGATGAGATTTAGAATGATGAGAATGATAATGATGAGATTTAGAATGATGAGAATGAGAATGATGAGAATGAGAATGATGAGAATGAGAATGATGAGAATGAGAATGATGAGAATGAGAATGATGAGAATGAGAATGATGAGAATGAGAATGATGAGAATGAGAATGATGAGATTGAGAATGATGAGAATGAGAATGATGAGAATGAGAATGATGAGATTGAGAATGATGAGAATGAGAATGATGAAAATGAGAATGATGAGAATGAGAATGATGAGAATCATAATTATGAGAAGTAAAATAGGAATGGAAGTGAGAATTAGATAAAGAAGGAGAAGGAGACAAAATTGGAGAATGAGAGTAAAAATTATAAAGGCAGGGGATAGCTACTTATTTTAAAGCGAAGAAAATGAGAATTAGAATGAAAATGATGAGAATAAGGATGAAAATGGATATCAGAATGAGAATGAGAGTGATAAAAATCAGAATGATCAGACTTAGGATAATGAGAACGTGAATGGAAATGAGAATGAAAATGGTAGTGGAAATGAGAACGGAAATAGGAATGCGTATGGCAAAGATAATGATGAGAATGATCAAAATCGGACTGGGAGTGGAAATGCAAATGGGCCTGGAAATGAAATTAATGAGATTGATGAGAATGATCTAGATGAGACTGATGAAAATAATGAGAATAAGAATGAGAACGAGAACCAAAACGAAACGAGAATGACCACAAGCATGTGAACGATTACCAGACCGATAATTAGAATGAGAATTATGAGAAAAATGGGAACAAAAGTAGGAATGGAAATAAAGGAACTAATGAGAATGACGTGAATCAGTATGATGAAAATGAGAATGGGAATAGGAATGAGAATGGGAATGGGAATGAGAAAGATGGGAAAAAAAATGATGAGAATAAGGATGATGAGAATGAGAACCATAAAGAGAACGAGAATGAAAATGAGAATGAAATGAAGTGAGAACGGGAATGAAATGAGAACGAGAATCAAATGAGAATGAAATGAGAATGAGAATGAAATGAGAATGAGAATGAAATGAGAATGAGAATGAAATGAGAATGAGAATGAAATGAGAATGAGAATGAAATGAGAAGGAGAATGAAATGAGAATGAGAATGAAATGAGAATGAGAATGAAATGAGAATGAGAATGAAATGAGAATGAGAATGAAATGAGAATGAGAATGAAATGAGAATGAGAATGAAATGAGAATGAGAATGAAATGAGAATGAGAATGAAATGAGAATGAGAATGAAATGAGAATGAGAATGAAATGAGAATGAGAATGAAATGAGAATGACAAGGAAATGAGAATGAGAATGAAATGAGAATGAGAATGAGAATGAAATGAGAATGAGAATGAGAATGAAATGAACATGAGAATGAAGTGAGAATGAGAATGAAAATAAGAATAAGAATAGCAACAGTTATGAAACGAGAATGGGAGTGGGAGTGAGAATTAGAAAGAGAAAAAGAAGGAGAACAGAATAGGAGAATGAGAGTAAAAATTATAAAGGCAGCAGGTAGCGATTTATTTTTATAAGACAAGTTAGTGAGTAAAATAAAAAAAACATATTTAGAATATTAAATAAAAAAGTAATCTGAAACCAAGAGAATGAGAATGAGAATGATGCGACAAAGGATGAAGATGAGAATGAGAATGATAATGATCACACTGAGAATGACGAGAATGAAACCATCGGAATGGAAATGGTAGCGGAAATGAGAACGAAACTGGGAATGAGGGTATGGAAATGATAATGAAAATGATGAGAATAAGAATGAGAACGAGAACCAAAACGAAACGAGAATGACCACAAGCATGTGAACGATTACCAGACCGATAATTAGAATGAGAATTATGAGAAAAATGGGAATAAAAGTCGGAATGGAAATAATGGAGATCATGAGAATGACGTGAATCAGTATGATGAAAAAGAGAATAGGAATAGGAATGAGAATGGGAATGGGAATGCGCAGAGGTGGGAAGGGATATGATGAGAATAAGAATGATGAGAATGAGAATGAAGTAAGAACGAGAATGATATGAGAATGAGAATGAAATGAGAATGAGAATGAAATAAGAATTAGAATGAAATGAGAATAAGAATGAAATGAGAATGAGAATGAAATGAGAATGAGAATGAAATGAGAATGAGAATGAGAATGAGAATGAGAATGAGAATCAGATTGAAATGAACATGAGAATGAAGTGAGAATAAGAATGATAAGATGATAATGATCACACTGAGAATGACGAGAATGAGACCATGGGAATGGAAATGGTAGCGGAAATGAGAATAAAACTGGGAATGACGGTATGGAAATGATAATGAAAATGATGAGAATAAGAATAGGATTGGAAATGCAAATAAGAATGGAAATGAGAATGATGAGACTGGGAATGACGTGCATAAGATTGATGTAATGAGAATGAGA